AAAGAGAAAGTATTATCACATGAAACGAAGCAACTTAAACAATTTACATTGAAAGAAATGTTTAATAAATATTAAGCTTTTTCTTTTTGTAAATTTTGATACCCTTTAAATCATAATTGTTCTTTATTTCATAAATTACGGTTTCATATTTTTAATTTTCTAATTTCTGCATGCCATCTTAGCAGATTTAAACTTATGATCTATAATCCGAAAAAATCGATAATCCGGAATCGCCGAATTCCCGACAAATCCGGATTAACGACTTATACTCAAAATTTCTAAAGAATCTTGTATTAGTGAAAATGTTTCATTCAGAATGAATTCTTTGATACTCTACTTTGGCTATAATCCCATCATTTCACGGAACTACAATTTTGGCTTAACTTAATTTGCCAGTTTTGCGTCATGATTCTTACTTGAATAAAAGTTGAAACACCTTCGCATTTATTATTTATTAATTATTGTTCATTGAACGGGAGTTGATTTGTTCCCCTTGAAAAGTCAACTTATTTCCGATCACTAGTGATAATTACTTGTTTTTTACTTTCTTTTCCAAAGTTTGAAATTTTGTTATTCAGGATTTAAATTCAAGTCCCCTTAATTTTTTTTAATGATTTAAATTCAAATTCCTTTAAAACATAATTTTCGGAATTAAACTTCCTACATGTGTGTTCCGTCTTTTTGATACATTCTACTAAATTTATATTAGGAGATAATATAATCAATTTCATTAGTAAATAAATTATATATATTATTAATAATTGGGCTATGCCTTATACAGTAGTAAGTAGTAGATTATTCTTAAAATTTTTGAATCCTACCATCAGTGGCACAGTAGAGTCAGCTGAACATGGCCAACAGAATAGTAATAAATTGGAACAGTTACTTGCAGAAATTAAGAGGGGGTCAGTTCCTTCAGAATTCTGCATGAATGATTGGTGTACTTTTGATAAGATCTCAGATTAGTTCAATGGTAGCCAGCTTCCACAGTTAGTGGGATAATATGCATTATTTAAAGCAAGACTATATATTAACACATCAACCTGGCTGTTCCACAAACTGAAAATTAACCACAATAAAACATTAATGCGTGTTGGGTACCAAAACACATTCAAAGTGAAACACATCTAACCTAACTAAATACGCCCCTAAGTAGTGTATTCGGAAACTAAGTACCGTTTCATTCTTGCGCTGTGGTAGGTGTCCCGGGTATGCGCACTAGTCTTCCTTGTTCACTGACTTTCAATTGTCGCCATTTTGGTTGCTCTATGTTGTGTTTTCAGTTTGCTGTGCACATTCAAAATGTTTAAGACAATTAGTTCTCCCACTGACTGTGAGATTCGTGCCGTGATTAAATTTTTGAACGCGAGGAATGTTAAAGCGGCCGAAATTTATCGTCAAGTGACAGAAGTTTACAGTGAATACGCGATAAGTGATGGAATGATGAGAAAGTGGGTAAGAATGTTTAATGCAGTTCGAACAAACGTCCACGCCGAGGCTCGGAGTGGTCGGCCTTCTGTTGTCACCAATGATTTGGTAAGGAAAGTTGATGAAGCAATTCATGAGAACAATGACAACTCTTTCAGAAGTATTTCCACAAATGTCACGTACTGTTTTGTTCGAAATTGTGTCTGACTACTTGAATTATCGCAAACTGTGTTCGCGATGGGTTCCAAAAATGCTCACTGATGTTCACAAAACAAAGCGACTTGGTAGTGCCCTGACATTTCTCACACGGTGCAGTGATTAGGGAGAAAACGTTTTAAACCAAATTGTGACAGGTGCTGAAACTTGGGTGTGTCATTTCACACCAGTATCGAAACAACAACCGATGGAGTGGAGACACACTCATTCTCTGAAAAAAAACAAAAAAGTTCAAAGTGACAATGTCATCACAAAAAATCATGTGCACTGTCTTCTGGGATAGGAAAGGCGTTTTTCTTACTGAATTTCTTCCCAGAGGTGAAGCCATTAATGCGGCATGATATTGTGAGACTTTAACAAAACTAAGGCGTGCCATTCAAAGCAAACGAAGAGGAATGCTCAGTAAAGGAATTGTGTTGCTCCATGACAATGCTCGGCCCCATACTGCTGGTGTCACTGAATTGTTAATTCGACAGTTTAATTGGAGCAGTTCGATCACCCGCCGTACAGCCCGGACTTGGCGCCAAAAACTGACTACCACTTGTTCCTGCACATCTACAGAGTGATGGCCAATCAGTGCAAATAACTTCTTTCTGAAAATTTACAAAATAGAAGCTTACATGTATTTTAACTAGCATTTTGGGATGAGTTAATGAAACTAGAAGTCTGAATAATAAGGTAACAGGGTTTATTGATAAATTCAGATTAACCTCTTTATGACAGCATGGTGCTGAGCTAAAAAACCCTGTGGGGGGGGAAATGTATTTCAGGATACCCCTTGGCAAAAATTGGGGATTTTTTTGGCACCATTTTTGTTTATGGGCAACACCCTCTCAAGTAAAATAGCGTCCAAAGCATAATGCAATAAAACATAAAAAAAAATATAATCTCAATAACTGCACTTTAAATCAAAATAAAACAAAGAAATACATGCTATCTAATCTGCACAGTACAAAAAGAAAATATTGACTTACCTTATTTAGAAATTTTTGTGTCTTCGGTGTATTCCTTAACAACATCGAAAAACTGTTTAAAATTATCTGAACTAGAATCTGTATACTGCCGTCGCCATATAAATTCACAGAAGCAAAAACCAAAAGGTAAAAATATATTTACAGGTGCCCCTTGGTGGTACGTGGACACCGAGCTTGTGCAATTCTTTGACTTAATACACAAATCCAAAATAACAAGTCAAAGAATTGCACATACTCAGTATCCATGTACACATCGACCTATTTTCACTTAAAAACATCAGAGAGTTGCACAAACTAAGTATTGCACACTCCCTTAACTTTGTCCATATACACATTGATCTATATTCACTGAAAAAGTCAAAGGAGCAGCCAACAAAAAATATATAATTTCAATAAACTGCATTTTAAATCAAACAATGAAATAACATAAAAAAGGAAATTCATCTTAGTAGTACACAAAAGAAATACCCACTTACCTTATTTAAATATTTCCACTTCTTCATTCAAACAAAATTTCTTAGTAGCATTGAAGAATTTCCTAAAATTATCTGAACTAGAATATGTATTCTGGAGTCGCCACATCAATTCACAAAGATAAGAGTAAAAAATATCCTCTGTAGTGGCAGTATCGTCCGACGTTCAACCACATGCATTTCCTCCCTACAAACAGGACACTTATAATGGCTACTAAGTAAACTTTCATTTACACACCAATCAATTAATCAATGAACCCAATACGCCATAATAGGTTTTCCATAGCTTTTAATTACTCAGGTTACCATAAATGAAACAACAACTTAGCGATAATCCAAGGGGCACCTATCAATCTTATCTAACTAATCAAAAATATCCTCAAGACTTGTGAGATCATACTACTGTAACAACCCACCATCTCCAAGGTAAGTTGCGCTAAGCAGCATGCCATCATGTAAGAGGATTAAGTGCTGATGCATATATGATACACCCGTCGTGAAGGGATTAGTAGAGAAAAGCCATATAGAGTGAATAGTTGCCTACTTTGTCACCATAATTCAAATTAATCACTTTTGCAACCATATGACATTGATAAGTTTTTAATAATGTCTTTGAGCTACAGTTTTAGGAACAGAGTTTAGATTTCAGTTATGGATGTATGGGTCCTACCAAAACATGTGTGGGGGCAAGGTGATGTTACTATTTCTTACAAGGACATATTATATTGCTGAGTAATCATCATTGTCCAGACATCCATATTCCAGAGTTCATATGCAAAATATAGAGAGGTTATTGGGTTTTTCAAAATGGCAGAATGAAAAACATAGGGATATAATAAGACACCATTTGAAGTTGTGCGTAGTAGTAGAGTAGTGGAGCTCGTATGGTGGCAGAAAGTTGTAGTGCAGGATTTAAAAAGAAAAAAAAAAAAAAAAAAAAAAAAAAAAACTTCAAAGCTACTCTAAAAGTGATTACCAAACATTTTCGCCTAGAATTAAAAAAAAAAAAAAAAAAGTATTGCACCAAATTACCACCAAAGTTAGCCAGTCCTTCTCCATTAACACATAACCTCTAAACCTTAATGTACTTGGCCTCATTCCTTACTCCCCCCCCACTAGAAATAATGTAATTTGAAAATAAAGGTTTTAATGACCTGTGTAGAGAATTTTGAATTCTACTTAGTCCAGATCCAGGCCTTTTACATGAACATAATAGGTATCTCAATTTTAAGAAAAATAATTTTTACTTCCAGATTTTCTTGAAAGGAAAAATGTTTTAGAACAGGGTATAAGAATTGTTTTGTATGCAATGCATATTTTCATTCAACAGTTTCATGAAAATTTACAGAGATATTTACCCATTAGAAAGCCATTTTACTGAGATATTTTAAACTCTACAGCTTAATCTACACTCGTGAGCAAAATTAAGAGAATTTGCACATTATGTCAAATTTCTGAAAAATTAATAAAACAGACTTTAATCAAATTTGATTTGAATATATATATATAAAATAGAGAAGGAGATGTACCGTCCAAAAGTCATTTTATGTATGTGTTATTATTAGTAAAGCTAATAGTGCAGGGATGTGCAAAATTCACATTGCGATATCAAACTGAAAATGAGTTTAATATAGAGTATCATCCCCTCTCACAGCCAGAAAAGTCACATAACATCACGGTGCATTGGACAAGGGTCAGTTGAAGAGTCTCTGTGATAGTTGATATCACTTCTAAAAAAGGTAGGTTTCATCTTCGGGATGGTTTTCGAAGAGGGATGACGAGATGAAATTGCCTTCCCAAGAGTGTCCCAGACATGCTGTATAGAGTTAACCCGGCATTATTCGCACCGGGCTACCGAGGCCTGATCAGTTTGTTAAAGCTATGTAAACTCTACCCCTTAATACTGAAAATGACCACACCTAGTCTAGCTGAGTGTAAGGTGACCTTTGACACAAAGGAGGCGTTTCCGGAATTTTATTTTATTCTGTTCGGACAAAAAGCCATTTTTTGGGTCGCTTAGGCCCAGCGCGAGTAAATGTGTTTCTAATTTCGAGTTTGAAGTGCACTGAGTTCGTAGCATAATATGGCTCGCAGATTAACATATGATGAAGAAATGGAATAATGTAATTTGGTAGATGAAGTATTGACTGATAACGAATCTATCAAAGGTGATGATTTATTGTCTGATTGCGGTGGAAGGTGTAGTGAGCATAATACTTTGTCTGAAGAAGAAACCGAGTCTGATGAAGAGGACGCTACTGATTCTAATTCAGTTAGTTGTTTTATTGGAAAAGATAAAAAGACAATTTGGAAGAAAACAAAATTTCGTCACAATGTTCGAACTTTATCACGAAATATTATTTCAAAGTTGCCTGAAAATTTTGGAGTGGCAAAAAACGTAACTTCTCCTCTTGAGTCTTGGAGTTTATTACTGGATGAAAATGTCTTGAATACGGTCGTCACCTGTACAAATATATATATTGACACTATCAGTGACAACTTTCAGAGAGAACGTGATGGTAAAAAAAACAAAACTCTCCGAAATTAAAGCTTTTATTAGATTACTATATTTATGTGGTATACATAAATCATCCCATGTGCATGTGAGGAGATTTATGGCGCACTGATGAAATGGGAATAGAAATATTTCATAGGACCATGTCTCATAATCGTTTTTTGTTTCTTATGAGATGCATAAGATTTGACAATGTTAGAAACAGACAAATGAGAAAAGAAATGGACAAACTTGCTCCAATAAGGTATGTATTTGGATCATTTGTGCATAATTGTCAGGAGTTTTATACAGCTGGATCATATATTACAATTCAAACCATTTAGAGGACGCTGTTCATTTCGACAGTACATGCCAAAAAGCCAGCTAAGTATGGAATAAAGATTTTCGCTCTTGTTGATGCAAGAACTTTCTTTACGTGTAATTTAGAAGTTTATGCAGGTACTCAGCCCCAAAGCCCGTATCATGTAAATAATTCATCAGTTGAAGTCGTCAAAAGGTTAACAGAAAAGTTAAATTCAGGAAGAAATGTAACAGTCGACAACTGGTATACTAGTTATGAACTTGCAAAGTATCTCCTTCACAAAAACATTACTCTAGTGGGCACCATAAGAAAGAACAAGAGGGAACTACTGAAAGAGTTTGTGAACAGTAAAAATCATAAGGTGCATTCATCTTTGTTTGCATTCCAGAAAGACATGACTTTAGTCTCGTATGTTTCTAAAAAAATGACGAAAGGAGCAGTTGATGTGGTGGACCAAATGTCAGCAGCGTATTGAACTGCAAGAATCAACAAAAGATGGCCTATGGTTTTGTTCTTTACACTGCTAAATACTGCTGCAATCAATGCTCGAGTATTACTCCAATGCTCAAAGACATTCCATGCTTACAGCACAGGAAGCGAAGTCAGTTTTTGAGAGATCTTGCAACAGATTTGCTGAAAGACTACACAGCGGAGAGGTGCACTGTACCATGTCTCCCTCGACATTTGCAAGAAAAACTATCTTCCAAGAGCAAAGAACCTACTGCTAAAAAACAGAAAGTAATTGAGAGAAAAAGGTGCTATATTTGCCCAAGCTCAAAGGACCGAAAATCTAAGATAATATGTACAAAATGTGAAAGAAATGTCTGTGGAGATCATTCTCTTTTAACATGTACCAATTGTACATAATGGGTTGTTTAATGACCTGCATAAAATACAAATCCATAAACAGGCCTCACAGGCCCGGCGCGAGCACTTGCGTATGTACGATTAGCGTGAGTAATGCCGAGTTAAGGTCAGGACATCGGATTGGCTAGTTCATGTGATGAATATCCACTTTTTCCGGACAATCCTTGACCAGCTGATCCCTATATAGATGAGTTTTGTCGTCCATTAAAACGGGAATCGAGAACCAACCTTATAAAATTTACTCAGTTTTGGTGAGAAATAATTGTCAGGAGGGGAAATGTCCTGGAATAGTACAAATGCACAAATTTCTAAAAAGCCCTAGTGCACAGCTGTGCAGGCACACATGTGCATGCTTATGTATTCAATTCTGAATATTTGCATAATCAGTAATTTTGTACAAATAGATATAATTTGCAATTTTTTTTTTAAATTTTGCACATGAGTGTACATGTAAAACAGGTGTATATTACTGTTATGTAATATGCACTTCTACCTCCTATTACAACTCACAGCTGGTGAGTACACTTTGATACACTAGACTTCAAAGACATCATATTTCAAAATTTAAAGCCTAATGTCTTTTCAGTTTTAATTCATGTCATGACAAAGTGTCCATGCATTTTCAGTATAATCCTCATTTTACAATTCTTTCTGTGCATTTATAATGAAGTGTACAGTTTTCACATACAAAGTGAGTGTTGCTAGTAAGGAAAGTTAGTAATATTTGCAATTTTCATAACTTTAAGACATCTTATTATTTGCAGTCTTATTGGCACTATAGAAAACTCAGTTTTATGGCTGCAACCTTTGTGATAATATACAAATGAAACTTAACCTTTTATAAATAAACTCTACATTTAAATGACTAGATATTATTTAAAAATCTTTATTTGAGATGAAGTGTAGAGACCAATTACTTGTAGTTTTCAAATTGTAGAATTAAGCAGAAATTGGTCAAGTTTCACTTGAACAGAAGTAAATAAATTTCCACCCAACTTTAGTTTGTAGCTGCACATGTATCTTTTGTTGTAATGATACATCTTGCTTGGCCAAAAATTTGCCCTACCTTAGCTGCTGCAATTGGTTTAATTTTAACTTTTCATCTTGACTAATTCATTTGCTTGTTTTCATTATATTCTTCCAAGGCCTTTTCCATCTTGTTTCCACAGTCTCTTGTAGTGTTGTTGGCTTTCATGAGCCTTCAGTGTTCTTCGGAATTCTCTGAAATGCTGGTTGGAATTGTTGCCTTTTATATGCAGTAAACCTGTATTGTGAACTGGGCTGTTCCATCTCCAAACTAATGTAAGCACTGGACACTGAACTTTCTTCATATAAACAGCTGCATTACCTTCATTTTTTGCAGCTATGCATTCCCCATCCTTCACTGTGGCAACTGACTAGTCCTTAGTACTTGTTACCATTCGAAATGCTTTGTATTCTTCTTAATAATTGGCTATAATCTTTTCCTTTCTAAATAATTGGCTGTAATCTTTTCATTAGCACTAGATATTTGGTTTTACCTCTTTGTACGTTATCTTATACCAGACAGTCTTGACTGACTGTCTACATACCCTGTACGTAGAAATTTCTGTATAAAAAGGCATATTTGCCTGTTCACAGAAATGTTTATTTGATCGACATTTGCCACACATTTAACAACATCCTCCCCTTTATATTTGAATTTCTTGTTGCTTTACATTCTAATTTTTAGATATTTTTCATCTTAAATTTTTCTATCCTTTTTCTTAAAAAGAATAGTCTACTTAGACTATTCAACAGGGGTGTTATCAACTTCATCCCTAAAAATAATTCTACTGGTATTTTTTTCATTATCTCATGTTTGGCCAAACTTAGTGCAAAGGTTGACGCAGCAGTTCCATTGTTTGAAATAGGTTTTTACAAAAGATTATACAGTACAAAGTCCGTAATCGGACATCCATTATCCGGAATGATATATAATCCAGACCTTAAAGCCACAAACTTTTTTTTTGTTTATGCATGCACGCTGGGAGGATGTCTCCAGGTGCGTTAAAAAATGTTTGGCATAATTTAGGGCCAGCTACCATATTTCATGGTGAGGACGATGAAGATGATAGCCACGAATTTGAAGGTTTTCGGACATCGCAAACTAAAGGTGAAATTTTCCAGTTATTGGATTTTGTAAAGAAATGTAGAGAAGCGGTAATAAATAAAGATGATATAATAGCAGTTTTTCATTGCGACAACAATGCCCCAATCATCAATCAATTAACAGACGGCCAAATCTGTAGTATGTTCTAGATCCAGAAAATAACGCTTCCGATAGGTGGAACTTTGTAACTGAAAAAGAAACTATGTCTGTTTATATAATTAAAGAGAATGTATTATCACAAAGAACAAAGTAATTTAAACAACTTACATGGAAAGAAATGTTTAATAAAGTAAACAAATATTAAGTTTTTTTTTTTTTTTTTTTTTTTTTTTTTTGTAATTTGATACCCTTTAGATCATAATTGCTCTTTATTTCATAAATTACTGTTTCATATTTTTAATTGTATAATTTCTGCATGCCGTCTTACCAGATTTAAATTGATGATCTATAATCTGGAAAAACCACTAATCCAGAATCGCCGAAGTCACAACGAGTCCGGATTACGAACTTTGTACTGTATGATTTTGATTATATTACTGTTGACATGTTTTGCAGTATTAGAATATGGTTAAAAAAGACCATCTTTAAATGTTTAATGTTGAGACCCATGCACATATAGTAGAAAATTTGACTAAATGAATTATGGAGTCTTATCCAAAATTATTTTTAGTAAGGCCCTACATTTTAAGATAAACTTAATTAGATGGACTCTGAAACTGTTTTTGTGGAGGCTGAGTGTAGTGAGAATATTTCCAGCCACTTTGAAAAGTTACGGTAACTAATAAAAATCTGTATATATTGTATTTTAAGATATGGACTTAATAAATCAATTCTGACCTTTTTCATTAGGAAAATTTGTTTGGTACTTACTTATTATCCTGTCAGACCTTTGACAGAAATTTATGCAATGGTCGCCAATCACATGTCGTCATTACAGAATGCTAAATGAAGTGGTCATCTGTAATTAATGCCAAATTGCACTACTTGGGCGGTTGATGAGATAATACTTGAGTACCATTTGTTTTTATACTTTTTTAGGTACTCAACTAGACTATAATTAGTATCATTAATTATTTAGCATATTTCACAGAACTTGACCATTGGCCTTGGCAATTGAGGGAAATAAACTTTCACTTCTTCACTGTTTTTCTCATGCCTAATGGCCTGTCAATGTGTCATCATGTAATTCATTTAAGAATCATAATAATGCTGGGATTACTGGTCTAAATTGTGTTTTTCTTTGTGTCTTTGTCAAATTTAGTTAGTAAATTATTTAAGTGAAACAGTAATAAAATTTTATATTAGTTGAGAACATTCGTCTAAGTTGTGAATAATTTGGTAATTTGCAACAGATGGCAGCACTAGTTAAGCTAATTTTATTTTATAATTTATATTTATTTATTTTGTTATTTCATAGTCATTTGCCCTGTTTCTTGTCCGTGTAATATTAGTGTGTTTGAATTTTCTGAGATCCTCTAATGAAGCATAAATATCTTTTAATTCAAAAGTCTACTCTTAATTTGATTATCATCTGCTGTGACTATAAAATGAACTTTCCAAAGTACAGTGTTCTCCCCCCACCCCCCCAAAAAAGTATGTGAAAATTCACAGTGTTCAAACTATACTTCTTAAACAGTCAAATTTTATAAAAATGCAACATGAAAAATTGCAAGCAAGGCTGTAAAATGTGCTCGGAAACTGGTTGGAACCCTGTATCTTATTTACAACAGCTGTTTGTTTTATTGGACAGAGAATTATACGTCAATAAAATTCTCTGAAGAAATATGGAGTTCTTTCCAAATATAACTATCAACTGGTATAATTACGTCCAAGGAGTGTGTGTGCTTTCTATGGAACAAGAAGAATGTAAACAATAGGCAATGCTGGATGTACTGTTGAAAGAGATGTAAGGGAAAGAAGCGTTGTCTCTGAAAAGTAAGCAATGGGTTCAGTACTTTTTGATGTTGTTGCCAATAATCAAAAAATACCTAAATGAAAAAAATGCAATAAAACTCCACTCTTTAAGCCTAAGCTAAAATTAAAGGCATTGAACTGAGGTGTGCTGAATTACTGTTAATCACTGTGCTTCTCAGTTTAGCATAAATTGTACAGAACGCACTAAAACAGAGTTTTCTATTCGAGATATCTTTTACAGTTCTTAAAAAAATAAATAAAAGTAAATAACATTAATGTGGCTTTGATGTCTTAAGTATACGTTTGTCTAAGAAAACCGAAGGGCTAAATTTGCGTTACCTCCATCTTTGAAAATGCTGACATATCCAGCTGGGAGCATGCTAATGAGTGTATAGTTCATTACGCTGTACAAAGGAGTTCACCAGCCTTCTGTACTAAGTTTTCCAAGCAGAGTCATTGAACTTTAATTCATATTTCTTCATTCAGCTGAAGGGCAGTTAAAATCTGGATCTTGAATGTGAAACAAGGGGAGATATTATGCATTATTTTTTGTAACATGGAAT